AAGATGATGTTGAAATTATTTTTAATTGTAATTTTTCAATTATGGTATTTGAAAACATTATTCAGTATTTCGAAAAAAATATCAGTCAAATTTCCAATACGAGTTTTTCTCTAAAACTTTGGGGAATAAAATACAATTGCATAGTGGGGCCCCTGTGTTGTCACGTGATCATTTTTACACGTGTACGTAAGTTTACATGTATACAAAACCGTGGTCGATAGTAATATAGGGTTATACTAGTAAGATATGTCTTCGCAAAACAAGAAAATTAAACTAAATGGTGCGACAGAAATTACCGATCGCCTTATCAAAGAATGTACAAAAGCGAGGGAATTTTCTTACTCGCCATATAGCAAATTTCGTGTCGGCGCTGCTCTTCTGACTGATGATGATGTTTTATTCACTGGCTGCAATGTGGAAAATGCGAGCTACGGACTCTCTATCTGTGCTGAGAGAACTGCCATCGTGAAAGCTGTTAGCTCTGGCTACACCAAGTTCAAAGAAATTGCGGTATCAACGGATATGRCTGAATTTGGTTCGCCTTGTGGAGCGTGTAGACAGTTTATAGCTGAATTTGGCCTGGACATTATTGTACATTTAGTGAATAGAGACATGGATTGTCAGACTACTACCTCTGGTGATCTACTTCCACAAGCATTTACCCCTAAAGACCTTGAAAGACATGCAAAACAGCTGAACGTCAACTGAGAATACTCGACCCGGACTGGGTAATCAGTGTTCCAATATTACTTCATTGCGTAAAAACATRGAATGTYTGTGTTGTGTTCCAAATATGCAATGAAACATTTTTACCTCTTATTTTTTGCTATTCGTAATTTATTCAAAGTCACTTTCTAACATATGGTTGTTTTAAATGTAGTATTTATTAAGGAGTGTAAAAAAAACTGTGAGAGGCCWTGTTAATAAGTTGAGCAATACTTATAWACATAACAACCTACASAACAAARGAATGACAGGTCACTTGGTGACCGAACAATATCAAGATTAACATAGRCTCTTCAGCYATTCARTAAAACCATGACCCAGAACTTGTATGAAATTCTTTCATAATGTCGCCACATTCATGTTGAAAAATGATCAATTTGGTAAAAACGAGCTTT